CAATAAAACCAAAAAATACAAGTTCAATGGTGCATTCTCCCGCTGGTGCCATGGGGACTGTAAGCCACAAGCACATAAATAGCTTTCTTTACTTATGTCAAATAATGAGAGCATTCATTGCACCTAAGCAAATCGATGGTGTAAGTTGGCAATCACATAACTCGGTTTGCAATGTCGCAGACTTCCTGTCATAATTCATTTTTTAAACGGAAAACTACTCAACAGCAATTCTTTAATTCTGCCGTGATTTTTCTTCTCTGTGCTAAGAAAATTCTGCAAAAACTTCAAGGAATGATGTCAATTAGTTCTCCTTTAAAAAAGCAAGATAGAGGCCGAGATTTTCAGACACCGCAAACAAGATATGTGATTGTGGACTTACGCTGTCGAAATGAACATCTATACTTCTGTTGTGTATTTCGATAGACAAGGAGGTGAGAAATGACTACGATCAAAATCTATTCTTAGGAGGACTTTAGCGAGCTGTTTTCCTTTTCGAAAAGTTACAAATATGACTCATTTATTATAATAGAGGATAAATTATTGGAAACTTACTATTCGTTTTGTTCAGTTCGACTAGACAGACTATTCGAAGGAGTAAGGCACTAGGGTGGTAAATATCTCTTTTCAGGACTCTGAAACGAATCGCGATGAAGTGATTTAGTGCAGAAATTGATATTGATGAAAAATAGCAGAGATAAATATTTCAACAAGTTGGACAAAGTGACTTTTGAGACATTCTAGGATAGAGGGAGATAATTTTACGGATTTTGGTTCTTTCGAGGAAAAACGATGTAGAGAGTAAGGCTGGCAAAAAATATGACACAGTCGATAAAAAAACAGCCCAAAAAAATGTGCCTTAAGGTGGAAGCTCAAAAACGTCGGTAGTGTTGGTCACAGAATCATGTTTTGATGCACCATTCTTGTAGATTAGCTAAAAATAATAAGATCTGTCTAAGCAGCAACTTTCTATGTTCAGTATTGACCAAGATATTGTGCTTTAAAAAACTCGTTAATAATCATGAAAAATAAATGATTCACTGATTCAGTTTTTAACATACAAGCACTTCCAATTGATTTGATTTCCAAGACACTTTCAAAATAAATTAAAAATAATGGAATGAGATGACGAGGGTGAAAAACCGAACGATTAAGAGAGCCTTCAAAATCAAGGTCAATACTTAAAAAAAGCAGATGATCATCATGAAAGCACACTGAAAAGCACATGAAAGGCACTGATCATCATAACAGCCAACTTAAAAGAAGTACTTTAATTATGAAGAAAATCGAATTAGAAAACTTACTGATCCACTATGTCAAAACATTGTTGGTAACGACACTCATAATAAAGTCTTTGAGCTTTGGCAATCAGAATATCACAACTTTCTTCAAGATCAGGGTCTATTTCTGGAGGTTTCTTGTACTTGTACAAAATATTGGCGTACAATGACTTTACAAACTTGACATCTTCTGAATTGGAATTGGAACTAAAAGAGTCTAAAGAGTCTAAGAGATCACTTTCTGAAAAAATGAAAACCAAGAGAGAAAATAATTGATCATTAAAATTAAAGAAAATCTTGACTTGAGAGATGGTTGAGGCTCTCTCTCTTGTAATCGATGGTAGAAAAGTAGAAGAAAATATACAATAGTAAAAGTGCCTTTTACAATGATTGATGATACTTAGATTTTTCCTTCTCATTTCTGGCATCATTTTTGTAAATTTGAAAACTCTACAATTTTGAGAGCTCAGCCAATCGGCAGGCTATTCTCGTTTTCGTTTTGCCACTAGAGTTCTTCTATAGTAGAGCGCTCAAGCAATTGAATGGCTCATCGACTCAACAAAACATGGCCGACGATTTTATCAGAATTTTGTTTTTTGTAGCTAATAATACCCCCTTGAACATTATTTAATATAAATTAGCGGATAAAAACAAAAAAACAAATAAAATCAACCTATTTTATCAAAATTTTATCAAAATATTATCATTTTTTTCGAAAATGTTATTTTCGAATTTTTTTTGCTGGGAAGTTTGTAGTTATTTTATTATTATGTCTGTGAGTCCAGGTACTGAGTTCTTCTCATCCGAACTTTTTGCCACAGCCGTTGCATTACCGTTATCATAGAAATGCAACTTTTCAGCCGCGTTTTTTTCTTTCAATCCTCCCACTTTTCCCTTTGCTGAGCGCTTCTTGAATACCTAAAAATTAGAGCTTTCCCGCTTGTTCATAGTTCTTAAGGTGATACGATGGACATCATATTTGGTGTCAGAGGGAAATGCAATATATTGCATTGATTAGTTCCATCTTTTCAGCTACTTATCATTTTTCTGGAGAGATCACGTTTCTGTTGTCACGAGACTAAAGAATTCACTTACCAAATTGACAAACAAAGTCAATGTAAGAAAAGTAGGGGTTTTTTAGGGGAAACTTATGGCATTTGAGTTAAGTTTCTTTAACAGTATCGAGTGCAATATTTCTCCTCTAAAAAAACCTTGCCTTTCTTAAGTTGAATTTGTTTTTCAAAGTTGGTGAGTGAATGTTTTAGTTTCGTGACAACAGAAAAGCAACATCAAAATTCGAAAAAAATGACAAACAGCTGAGCACATGGAACTAATCGATGCAAAATATCGCATGACATTCTGACACCAAATATGACATCCATGAAATCATTCCCTTAAAATCAAGTTCCATCGATGAATCTTGATTTTATGCATTTTTGGTTAAAATCGTTCTTCCTCATTTTGAAAATGTAAATGTATCAACAAAAACACATGATATGATTGCTGTGTGCCATAATTTCTGCTCTGACCATATTTTTAAGAGAGTTTTACGGGTCATTCCAGCACAAAATTTCAGACATTATGCTAGAGAGGGCAAAAAAAATCACATGCAGTTTTCTGAAATATAAATGATCCAACCTTCAGGAAAGTGACATGTGACAAGAAACCTGCAATGCGGCAAAAATTCACAGTTGATATCACACAAAAAAAAACTTAACAAAGTTAAGTAAGTAAAATAGCTAAGTTATTAGTCAAGCTTTTTTAAGTTACTGTAGGTATGTTTTGCAGTTTCATAATCGATGAGTCCATAGAGTAGACAAAAGAAAGGCAGTAATTACATACCTTCATTTTCAGTCAACATTTGATGCTTTGTTAGAGCGGTGAATGCTCCAGCATGGTAAATGTCTTTCATCAGTGTCTGTTTGAAGCTATTCGAAGAGTACTCTAAGAAGTTCATCTCTTGGTAAATCTGCCCTTTCAGGAAGAGAATGTCTGATTCCACCTTAGACAGAGAGAAAAAAAATTTGATATTAAATCATGATAGACTTTGTTTCTTAGTCACTTCTTCACTGTGATTGGGTAATTGAATCGCTAAAAACATTTAAAGAGAAGAAATACTGACATGAAATTTATAGAATGGAGTAATTGGTGTCTACTCCCCGGCATCCTTTATTCAGGGTGTCCAGTTTTTTTTTTCATTTTGGGAAATCCTGATTTTTCCTGATTATTGACTGCTTTATCTTGATTTCATAATTTTTCCAAATCCTGATTATTTGCGGAGAAAAATTAAAATTCCTGCATAAACATATGCAAAAGCAGAACTCTACGATTAAGTTCTAATGATTATAAACAAGTAAGAATCAATGAAAATTGAAAAAAATGTTAATGGACCAGACTCGATTGGCCATTCAGGCGAGTGTAACTTCACAAAAATAGCTTGATAAAAAAATCAAATCGGACGGCCGACTCTTCTCAAATCCTGATTTTAATACCGATTTTTCCTCTTATACTGATGAAATCGGGATTAGATCCTGATTGACCTCAAATCCTGAAAGAATCGAGAAAATCCTGATGCTAGACACCCTGTTATTACAAATATGGACTTGATACTCACCATGGGTGAATGAAATGGATCATCATCCTCAAATTCACACTCTTCACCGTTGACTTCCTCTTCCCCGATGCCTGCATCAGCCCTCTCTTCGTCTTCAACATTTTCCTCTTCATCATCATCATCATCATTGTCTTCCTCATCATCTTCCTCATCGTCGTCATCATCATCGTCATCGCTCTCAATCAACTCGTGGCCCCGATCCTGAGGCTCCATCAGGCTGCAGGATGGAATGCTCACCTCCTCTTCGTTGCGAATGAGAATGTCCAAAGCCCCGGAGAAATCCTTAGCTTCAAACAGACATTTTGCTGCAATGTACAGACATAGTTGGTTGATCTGAAATAAGAATAAAGGAGACAAAGATAGTCTCAGTAGTCTGTCTTTCATACGGAGACGAGCCAATTGCGTAGAGGAACTTTGATATCAGAGCCAGGAATGCAAAAAAAGGGGAAAACATAGGTCTAAAAAAGGTAAAGGTAAGTCTCAGGTATTTTTAAGAATTTCTGGTTGAACGAAGTTGCCACAGAATTTTACTTATAAATGAATTTACCTGACATATTTCGGTGAAATACCCTGAAAACCCGAGGTATGCCAAATGGTTAAAAAGACACAATTTGAGACAGTCTTCAGGCAAAATTTGTTGTTCGAAACGTCAAATCCATTCTAAAAAGCAAATAAAGGAGACTTAACAATTTTCCCTGATTTTTCAAAATTCCCTGAATGTAGTAACTCCAGCATAAGTTCACATTTCCTGGTAAGTTTTCTGACTGTCGAATAAATAATGTCCCTTTGGAGCAACTTAGACCTTTTTTTCGTCAAATTTTAACAGCGTAGCTTTCATGAGAAAAAAAAAACTAAACGCTATGATTATCTTCTCTCCCATTCTCCTTCCCTCCTCAATTTGCCGCACCTAGACAACTGCCCGGCTGCCTAGATTACTGACCCGGTAAATCCGAGCATGAACTAGTTGGCTAGTTGGCATGATTCAAAATTATAAAAAATAACAACTCTTTGAATTATTAATAATATATAATTCAACCATATCGTTGATGCGTTTTCAACCTTGATATTGTTTGGCAACAATACTTGAGTTTGTAAAGCTCTTTTGAAAGTAACCATTTTTCTTATTACACTTACCTTCTCTAGTCCTCGGCTAGTTATGAGATGGTAAGCGCGGTGATAGTCTTCATTCAGGAACATGCATTTGGCACACAAGTAAACATCGCACTGATCCTCATTGCTCAAAAACATTGCCTGCTCTGCCCAAAACAAAGCTTCTGAATATCGACCCTGAAATAAAATAGAGAGTATGTTCACAAGTCATAAAGTTGTCAATGAAACAAGTGGATACTAGGAAACCTAACAGTGGTTTTGGTGGAGATAAATATAGGATAAATAGCTTCTAGACTTGAAGGTTTTAACTAACTTACTCAAAGTTCAAGAACTGCAAAGTTCTCAGTGTTTATATAAAATTGATAGATTATTTGATGAATGTTAATGTTGAGTAGAACTGAACAAAAATTTGTAAATTGACTGCCTTGTTTCAGAAGTGCAGATTTACCTACATTTGGATTAGACTGACACTTCTTCTGACACTCTCTTAAAAAACAAAACAAAATTACTTTGGCTGATTCAGACGAAATTCGGTTTGTGACAATATGAACTAGACAACAAAAGGACAGTTGCTGAAAAAAGATGCCGGCCCTAGCATTTTACTAATTTTTTTAAAAATTACTCTCAAAATAGCGGGGTGTCGGATTCTGCGATTTGGCCTCTTACAAGCAGAAAAACAAATTTGTTAAATAAATTTAGGACACTATCAGAGGGGAATGCAATAATATTTTCTGTTCCTCTTGGAATCATTCAGACAAAAGTAGAAAGTGGATCTTTTGTACAGTAAGGATTCAAAGAAAAATTGAACAAAAATCAGAAGAAATGAACGAACATATACTCTTCTTGACCTCAGCTTCATAGATAGATTTTCCACTGAGATCACAGATTTGGCAACATCTAATCAGGGACAAGTGGTTGTCAAAAGAAAAGCCACTGGAGGAACTGGAAATTTTGTTGGATACTGTGGCAGCTCCTCTGGTATGAGCGGAACAACTACGATTGGTTGTTGTCGAATTCATGATTTCTGTTTGAAATCCAATGATAAAACTTTGATCAATTTTCGAAAATGCTGTTAAGAAAAATAATTTCTATTTCTGGCATGATTGTACTGGCGTGCGGTGTAAACCATCAGTTAAATAAAATATTTTGGCAGATTTCAAATTTTCAGCCAAACAACGGAGGATAGTCCCTGCACATTAGATGAAAATATCATTTTCGACCAAAAAATTACAAGATTCAGAGAAATGAAGGCAGGATTCTTCTTGGAAAAAGTCTAGCATTAGATAAAGTATTCTATTCTTGTATCAAATGCAAGGTTCATGGTTTAACCGAAAAGAATCCTGCCTTTATTTCTCTGAATTTCACCATTTCTCGGATTGATACTTAAAGATACCTTAATCTCATGCGCAGGGGCTACCATCCTGCTTGGCCTGATAATTCAATTAACTTCTGAGATTATGGACTATGCCAATGCCATTTTTTGCATCGGCCACACCAGAGACAGGACGAATCACTTTAAAATAATCGGAAGAACTTCATGGTGCCCCTCTTAATCCAACCCACCAAAGAACACACACTCATCAAGAAATGCTGTGTATGTTCTATTTGAGAGGCACTATAGAAGGAGTGAGACAATGATCTTCAACTATAGGGATAGAGAAATCTTACTAAACTTACATAATGAATGCCCCTCCATACAAGCTTACGATAAGCTTCAACTTTAGGATGAAATTCTACTTTACTTTTCATTTCTTCATCCACTGAGGCCACCTGCTTGGAAACTTCGACAGTAGTTTTAGAACAGCTTGCAACAGGATTGCTTTCCATTTTCAATGTGTTCCGAAGAAATTGTAAGAGCTAGAAGTTCAGATTAGAGTGAATAAACGCAGAGGGTACGCACGATCACCTTCTCCGTTGGGCCCGAAAAAGTAACTAAATAATGTCACTTTAACCATTGATTTCGATGAATTAGAAATTTTTGGGACTTAGTACTGAGATCACCATAAAATAATTATACTAGAGTTCTAAAGAGTACACAAAATTCACACTTTATCATGGCATGTGCTTCACATTTTTTGAACTTTTGAGGTTACCGATTTGTTTACAAATCGAGCGCGCAAATTTTTTAAAAGTCACAGATTCCACCAATAGATAGCAGCACAACCTACACTAACGTTGTCAAGTCAGACAAAGTTAATTTCCACGGTTATTGCGGTTATTCCTTACTTTCTCGGAGAATATTTTTCACATCTCATGTTGGTTTTGAGTGTAAAATAGTTTCCAATTGACAAAAAAAAAACCATTGCGGATATCAGGATATGCGTCGATAAATTTTCAGAGAATAATTTTGAAATTAATGAGACCACATGGCAACATTGGGCACAATGGCTGATGATAAGCTATCAATAACAAAAACAATAAGATTTTACTTCGTCTCCTAATCGAAATTTTCGTGAGGTATCAGAATTTCATGCTCCGAGCTTTATTTATCCAGTGATCACATATTTTAACAGTTGCAGGTATGTTTTTCCTCTCAGAACCACGGAATCAGTCTCCTTTTCGATCAATGTAACCAATCGACATACTCTAACATGCTGAGCTTCGAGATCGAGTTGCGTGGGCAACTTCACTAATCATGCTTGAGAGGATTGTTGGAAGGTAAGCTACCATAAATTTAGGTGCCAGATTAATTAGACTCGACCCTCCACGCATGCTTTCAAGTCAGACAAGAGGAGGTAACTCTTGTCTGTTATAAACCCGCCCCAAAATTACGCCTCCCTTTGACAGCGGTAGATATTCTGCAGTCATTATATGAATACTTGCTCATATACACTGGATCATTCCTCCGAGAGACATTGCAATAAAATCTCTCATTTGTGACTTCATTTTTGATTTTAAGCAATCCATTTTATCTAAATGGTCAATCAGATCTGAATCTTCATCAAACCTCTGAGAACCTGCGGGTCCGTTACAGCAGTTCCTTAAACCCTGTTGGACTCATAACTGATAACAATATTTCTCATTGCTTAAATATACTTTAAAGTATAAGGAATGAGTATGAATATAATATAGTGTCAGCCTTGTAGGATTGAAGAAATGATCAAGAGTGGTGCTATGAGGAAGAGATCTAAGCTGCGAGTAAATTCCCACCTTAGCTTTCTGTTGAAGGTCCTGTCATTTACCGATCGAGGTGTGTTTCAGCAGCTCTTTTGTAGGTATTAATTTGCACGACTGTCAGTAAGACTGTTAACGAAACAGCGTTTGAGAAGAGATTGGTTCTTGTATGTGCGCAAATTTAGTAGTGGCATCTAAGGCCAGGTATAAGATATAAAATTTCAAACATTGCAATTTACATTGTCAGCAGTGCGACCTCAGGACACTTCCTTTGTTGCATTAGTACTTATCTATTAATAATTGGGAGCAGAACTTTTGACTTACTTCGAAGATCCTTAAAGAATGGCTTTCCTTGAAGAGAGGAAAATGGCTTTTGGCATAGATATTACTTAATTTTTTTTTTTTTACTACTTCAAATACCACACAAGTGGTAATCCTTGCGCTTCCAGTTAGAGCCCCTCCCCCCTCCGTCCCTACCATGTACCAGCCCAAGGCAACCAAACCACCAGCCGTTGTCAGCCAGTTGTTTGAGACCATCAAACTTGGGTCGCCTAGCCGGGAATCGAACCCGGGACCTCCTGATTGTAGAGCCAGCGCTACAACCACTACACCACAGGAGGCCGAATGATTGAATTTGTTGTTTTGTATGACTTTTTGATTTTTCTACAAAAATACTCTTCATGCTTATAACCTATTATATATAAAAGTGACTGCGACATGTGGAACCTAGAAATTGAGGAGCTACCTTGAGCTCTACCAGTTGCTTTTTTTAGTTTTTCAGAGGAGAATTCAAAGTCGAGTAAAAGTATGAGTTAGTGGGAATAGGTGGTCTTATTTATTTTTCGCACGGAGTATGGGCAAAAATAATTTTTCAAACCTTATTTCCGCAGTTTTAACTTGATGAAGGTTTGCTAATACAGGTCCCTAATTTTTCAGTTTCAATCAACTACAATCTTAATCAATCGAGGAGTTTTCATTATTTTTTTCATGTTTTGCCGTATGATTTTTCAGAGTGTTTCGGTCAGCAGCAAGAAGTGCGCAAGGAAACGGAGAAATGGACAAAGGCGAAGAGGATGAAAAAATGGTGGTAGAGGAAAGTAGAGGAGCTGGAAGCAGTTCCAGTGATATAGAGGTGAGTTACAAAGCTATATCCTAGTCAGCTTTTTTGTTTCAAGTAAATAAAGAAAGCTTGTAAATTGCTCACCTACAGCTGGAAAAGCGTAGCATAAATCCTGAAGCTTGCAAAAGAAAATGTATTTAATTTGCTTGTTTTATAAGTAATCTTTTAGTTACGAAGCTGTTGAGAATTCATGGCTAGATCTACATTTATACCGCCCCTAAGTAAGCGCTAGGCTATCAAGATTTTACCGCCCAACAACTTGTGGGGGGGAGGAGGGAGGTTAAGGCGAGTCGAAAAACATTGACTCTTAAATTTCAAAATTATATTGATTTGTAATTTTTTTGTGTTTTTCATTCTTTTTCTAGTTTGACAACTCGAATTCTGTACTGCTGAAAATTGCCTCTCTTTATGCAGAAAAATTGATGAATGACGTCAGTTTGCTTGTTGGAGGGCATGAATATCCTGCTCATAAGTTAATTTTATGTGCCTCAAGTGAAGTTTTTAGTGTAAGTTTATCATAAAATTAATTCAAAGTAGCTTATTGTAAATACAGAAGAATAGAAAGGATAAAATTGATGAATTTCATTTAATGTCTTCAATTCTAGAGGATCTAAATATTTCTTGTTGTTTTTGAAAGTCTTCGATAAATGTCTTTTGTGTTATTACTGCACTTTAAGCGCGCCACTAGCATCAAGTAGTGCTGCACATTTTACTGTGGAATCAATCATTTTACCATAAAATTGGACAATTGGTAATGAGGTAAATCAGAAAAATATGGTAGTGAGGCAAAAATGCTGGATCACAGTAAACGGTCAGCATTTTGGAACTTTCTACTTATACCTCAACAGTAATTTTAGGCAAGTGTGTTGTTATTGCTCTGCAACTTTTATGACAGTTAAAATTTTCTTTGAAAAAATTTGATGTGCTCATGTTTTACAGTATATTTTGTTCTTCTGTAGGTTATGTTAATGAATCCCCAATGGAGTGAATCAAGGGAAAGCAAGGTTGTTTTGAAAGAGACACCTTCTTGTGCTGCAGAATTTGGTAAATTTCTGACGTATCTCTACACTGGAAGAATTAGAATCAATCAAAGCAGTGTCATGCCTATTCTTGGCTTAGCTGATAAGTACAATGTAAAGGTATGCTTATTCGACTCATGTAATTTTTCGCCTTTGCTTTGATTCTTCAACACCATCTCTATCTAAACAATTATCTTGTCAAAACTGCGACTGTTCATTCTAATTTTAACCTTTTGAAAATTACTTTCATTGAGACAAGAGCCGTTTGATCAACTCATGTCACATACAATGCTATTCTTGAGCTACATTTATTTTAGTCTTTAATGAATTTATTATGTTTTTTCAAGATTAGTAGAGAATTTCTAGACATCTGAAAATCACATTTGGAATCACACTTGCTGGCTGGTTATTAAAGTTATATCCTTGTCAATAAAACCTGCTAAGACTAACCTAAAACAGAGCTATTTCATCGGTTGATGGAGCAGTTCCTTCTTGTATGAAGTCAAACTAGCAATTCTGTATCAAAAAAGGTACTTTTGAGTACTTGGTAACGTTCTAACCCAAAGAGAGGCCAACATAGAACTCATTTGACCCAGATACTCAATGATACCTGCAGCATTGCACACAGAATACTAAATTTGGCACCGACCAAATTTTAATATTATTTTATTTGATTTTTCTTACAACCTTCCAAGCATCATTAGGTTTTATAAAAAAGCTTTTGAGCTGCCAATTTTGGAAAAAGCAGGGCTGAAAAGTGAATTTCTCTGCCTTCTTACATGCATTTTCTAATGGAAATGTGAGACTGTGTCTGTGCTGATGCTGCGCTGGACGCTGATATCATTCAGAGGAATTTGATTTTTTTCCGCCACCCAGACTGCAAGAAAACAAAAACTAAAAAGTCTCCATGACATAGATGTATAATACAATCTTTGTGTTTTATGCCTAAGTTCCATGATCATCAGTGAGGCTTTGCAATACTTGTACTAAATATTGCACGTAAAATTACTGTAAAATTCACTTTGCAGCCCTGCCTTTCTCAAAATTGGCTCATGGTAAGTTTGGTTTTCCAAGGACAATAAGTTCAAAAAACCCTAAAGAACATTATAACATATAATCTCGAATTTTAACTAGTATGGAATTTGTCAGAAAGAGAGGCAGATAGCTGAAATTGAATCCCTTTCATCAGTCAATATTTAGGAGGTGAAGTTTTGTCTAAAAATCTTTGTTTTATCTAACGTATGAATTTGGTGAAAAGTTTTCATCAAAATTCCTCACCGCAGCATTTATTATCACATAAATCTATCAGATCAGTTTTCCCACATTGCTGGCTAGTAATCTTGAGTGCTCTGCAACAAATTTTACTCTTTCTCTCATATATGCTTGTGGAATTTTTTATGTTTCAGGACCTAATATATCTTTGTTTAGACTACATGTGTAATCACATTGCTCAAGCATTTGTACATAATCAATTGATATCATGGTTTCAGTATACTCTCTCTCTGGGTCACTACCAAGTTGCTCTAGTAAGTATTCAAAATAAGAATATTTTTCTACGTTTTTTGCCCATCGGAAGGCCCTTGAAAATTTACATTAGTCCAAAGTTTACTTAAATCAACTTGGATGCTGAATTTCAGTGAGCGATATGATGATTTAATTTTCTCTGCTTGCTCAATCAATTTTCCGTGGCAATTTTACAAGTATTGTGCATACAAAGAGGCAGGAAATTTTTCAGGATGCCCAACTCTATCTATTCTTCGAATGATAAGTATGTTTCCAATCGCTGATTTTCACCTTTGTTACTCATAGTTTTTTTTTCTTTCTAAGCAAGCATGAAGTTTGAATTGACTTTTCTTCGTGTGAAAAATATTAACTATCGATTTATTATCGAAATATTAACTACGATTTTAAGGATTTTGAGTGAATTTTTGATGAGAAACCATGTGTTGTGATTCGTGCCTAAATTCTTACTCTTTCTAGTGGTTCATATGTGAGGTTCACTAGTCTCGAGCATTCGCCCAAGAACTTACCTTTCAGTTCCCATCTATGGTATAATTTAGCTCTTTTTCCAATAAGCATAAAACTTTCTGATAAAATAAATTTTTATTAAAATTAATAGTAATTTCTCAAGCAAAAACATGAGAAACATGCCCCCAAACACACACCAAGAAAACCATCATCCGAAATAAAGTCACCCTCAATAATGTACCTTATGAAAATGATTTGGAACTCGGCCAACCTTTTTCATGGAGCATACCTCCTCTCCTAAGCAAATTGTTTTCCTTTTGCTCCTTCGTCAATTTTATTTATTTTATTTATTATTTTATTCATTTTTATTGTCTCAGTACAGACACTTCTTTTGAGATGCTAAGGGACCTTTTTACACCAATTACTTGAAAATTCAATTCTCTTTCATAGTGGATCAATATTCAGTACTTCCCAGTAATTCTGTAGATTTTCAATCTTTTGTTTTAATTTGCAGGTCTGTGAAAATTTTCTAAAGTGGAATCTAGAAAAAGTATCGGAGATCTCAGATTTTGGAAACATTCATCCAGAAATAATGGCAAAGCTTCTTCAGCACAATGATTTAGTAGTTGTTAATGAAATCTCACTGTATTCGTAAGTCTGCATTTTGATATTAATGAGCAGTTTCAATTAACTACTAATATTTTAAAGAATAATCTATCGTTACCATTGTGAACACCATGATTTAGGAAAATATCAGTGCATCAACTTGCTGACTGTAACTGTGTTTTTTTTTATCTGCCTCCATTGATGCCATGATGCCAATCATGCAAAAATGATAAAATAAAAGAAGATTTCAGGGACAAAAAACAAAAAACTTGTGTTAAAAAAACTGTGATTGGATCTGTCAGAAGGGACCTTAGGTCACTCTTTTAAAATGTATCCACAAATGGCCGTTTAAATATCACTTAGGTAACTAAGGGGAGTGGGGAGTCTGAGCTTGTTGTAAAAGGTCCACCGAAAAGGGAAGGCGGTTAAGACCAGTCTTATACAAGCATTCCACTTTAAAAAAAATAACATCTGTCTATGAAAATGATAGCTATTTTTCAGGCCCCTTTGTTTTTTCCCGAAAAATAGGAGGAGAGGTCAGGCCAAAGACATTGAATCACGTAGACCGTGCGTTCGGCTCGGTTTAGTACTGGCGGAGGGGGGCAAGTCTCTCGGAGCCCCAAGATGGGCAGGCGGGGAAGGGGAGAGAGCGTGTGTCCCAAGCACTCGAAGAGACTGCAGAGAGGCAATGGGGAATTCATGCCCGCGCTCGGTTTTTCACGAATATCTCGTTTAGAGTCCATTTTCAGACAAAATTCCTAAGAAGAAAAGTTATAGAACACGTAATTTTACAGCCGATTAGAACTGTTTCATTTTTCAGAACTAATTATTAACCGAGGAAAAAAGCCTCACAATCCGACAAAAATTCACTGGAGTCGCTATTGCGCATGCGCAGATGTGCGCAACTGGGACACATGAATTCATCGATGCGGGTCGGTGCCACCACTCATCACATGCGAATTTTTAAAAGTTGCTTCGCCTTCCGTAACACAGGATGCACGGTCTACGTGATTCAATGTCTTTGGGTCAGGCCAGTCTGGTTTACAGTTTTTTCTAGTTCAAAAGGAAGGACAATCAAGTTTTAGTATCTATCTGAACCATTTTGCCATTAATTATTATTATAGTATTTTTGGCATATTCTTCTATTTACATCTATCTTGTGTTTGGATGATATTAATTAATATCGATAATCCAATGATTCTTTCCAAAATTATTAAAATTACAAAATATAGTACAGTGTGATTTTCTATGATTGTGTTTCGGTGCCTTGTCTTGGGTAGAGGGGGTATAAAAGTTGGCCAAAATGCCGTATGTAATACTTGATTGGCCGTGAAATTGATTGAACTAAATTAATTTTATTTTTCCAGGTGTGTTGTCCGATGGCTGGAGATTCAAGAAAGAATATTAATGGCCGAGTTACCAGCAGAAGAGGTTGAAGCCCAGTTGAGTTCCTTTGTTGAGCAGACCATGATCAACATAAGGTTTCCAATGATGACCCCTCGCCAGTTAGCTCAGCTATTATTGTCACCTCTCGTGAAACGGTTCAAAGAGTTCTTTATTGAAAGAATGGCCATGGGAATGTCCTTTCATTCAGGTACAAAGACATTCAAATTACTCGACAAATAATGGCCTGACTCATGACAGTTAGATCGTTCCTCGAGCCTTTTTGCCTCTTAATGATTGACGGCAACTGTTAGCATTACACATTTCAAAGCCTTGGAAAACGTTATTTGCTGACAAAAAGTAAAAATTTACTCCTTTGAAGATCATATTTTTTTTAGCATGCAAATGCTGTTTCATGCTCTTTGAAAAATGCATGTTTACATCCTGTTGAATCAGCTCAGCTTAGCATGTAAAATGCAATTAAAACTGTCGAGAGGTGATTGTTTTTCACGGATAGTACCAAGTTTGAATTTTATTTGAAATATTAGTGAAAGAAATGCTTGACCTTGTGAGATAAACTAGCAAATATCTTGTGAAGATCAACACCATAATATATGGGTTTACAAATGAAGTAAAAAACAGGTGAAATTTTAAAATTTTTCAAGCAAAAATTGTTTTTAAACCTAAATTTGAAGCTCAGTAAATTTTTCAATTTCAAAATCATAAATTAGTAGTGTATATTTTTATTGTTTTTTAATTACTTTTGATTCAGAGCCAAGAGAAAGAAATGAAACCCCTGGTAATCTTGTATTTATTCACTTTGTGCACTATTTATCATGCAAATAAAAGTTATTGTAACTTATTTTGAAAAGCGTGGTAAGCTATTACTCCTTATTTTATATATATTTCCTTTTTTATATTCTTAATTTTCGTTTCAGGACAAGCTGATCGAATTAGAAAGATTTGCCAAGAAGAAAACGGTAATTTATTATTCACACCTCGCCTGTATACTGCATCAGAGTGGAGTTCTGTGCTGACAGTTGAGAATTTCACGTCTTTACCCGCCTATCAGTCTCGCACCTTAGTTTTCACGTCGCAAGTTCAAACTGCCGAGCATGAAGGAGATAAAACCTGCGAATGGGTAAGTATTTTTTCATAAATATCTATGTAAATGTTTTTGATGATAATTTTGACCACAAAAGAAAGGTAGACATAATCTCAGGTGACATTGGTGTAATGTATGTGGGTGGACTGGACATTCCTATGGGCAAAGGCTATCTTGTCCATGATGACCTCAACTTTGCGAGCCTGTAAGCCAATCTTAGTAAAAATCAGTAGCACTACTGTCCTTGAAAATTTTTTCCTGGACCTTAATGGACGAATCTAAAATCTTTAGTTTATACTAAAACTTAGTAGCAATATTTCATTGACAAAGTTTAACCTCTATCTTTCAGACTGAGTGTTAGTATTTTTAGCATTGTGCTTAAAATTTCAGTGTACAACTGAAATTCTCAATACTGAGGGAAAAAGCTCATTCCATTACGTTATAGGTTCAGTTGGATCCATAACAGTATTTTTTTCTTTGAGGGAATATCCTGCTGGAATGAGCTTTTTTCTCTCTTTTAAGGATTTTAGGTGTGAATTGAATTTTTATGCACTTTGGTAAAATCACTAAAACTGTGTCTAAAAACGACTCATGCGTTGATCTCCAATCTGTCTGTATATTTTTCAGTTTAAATGTTAACGTTTAGTCAGAAGCCAACCTATCTGTGATTATTCTGTTAGAGAGTTATAAGTTAGTAAACAGTGTTTTTTCCTCTCATGCGATGTGTGTTTTAAAGAAGAAGCTGAAGGTGGATTACCAGTCATAACTGAAGGATTGATTCTTAAGGTTATCAGTTAGAACAAATGATAAGGATTGCGAAGGAGAGTGTACAGCTATTCCTGCAGAAAAAAATAAATAAAAATAAGGAAAATTAGGGTAAAGTCCGTAGTTGACTTACATTGATCATATCTAAAAAGGCATTGAAGGTGTTTTCACAATTTACATCCCAAAATTAATCTTTATTTTACATAATTTTGTTTATATTTCAGGTAGTCGATTTTTACCCAAAAGGCATCTGGTTCCAAAAGTGCTACCTTATCGTGTGGGAAGGCACCATCAATCTTCCAGAACTAATCTTAAAAACAGTGCGGCTTTCGATCACCTGCAAAGACCCGCCATGCAACCCAGATGATCTTCGGGTGAAAATAGGCATCCTGATAAGCGGCGTTCAAGACGATGTAGAGCATATAATGTGGACGGTGCAGAAGGTGTATCGGTTCAATGACGAGGAGCGACTTTTGAATTTCGATGACCTCATGTCCTACGCAGAACTCAACGACAATTTGAACCTCTTGAATAGGGAAGCCCACTCATCAGACCAGGATAGAAGTAAAAACAAGGAATCCACTTCCGGAGACCAAGACAAGAGTAAAGTCTCACCGTTTTTAGTCGGCCCAAATAGAGATACATTGAAAATTCATATTTCTGTTACTCCGCTGTTCAGACACTCGGGTACCGAGCCGATTTAGCTTTTGTTATCCTAATCCATTATGCAGAGTGTCTTCTTCTCATTACAAGTTGAAAACAATTCCAGAGGAGATGGAATAATTGACTTTGACATGTTAAAGCGAAAGCACGATCCATTTTCAAAAGCTTACCGGAACTTTTATTATTAGTTTGTACATTGTATCTAGGACTTGATGAAACTAGGAGTTACCAAGACTCATCAGGGATTGAAAAACATTTGAAGGAATCGGATAATTGATGTTGTAAACCAAGGAAGTTTTCTCTCTCCTGTACTGCCGTGCTAAGAAAAAACGCCGTATGTTGCCAAATTTCCTTTTATAAAACGCGAATTTCCTGGTAAACTTATGAAAATTTTCCTCCCAATGTTTTTAGATAATTTTGTTCGCAATTTCACCTAAAGATTCTGAAAATTTAAAGGAAAAATATTCATGACCATCCTTGATAATGAACATTTTATCGAAGGAAATTTGGCAACTCTCGAATGTTCATACTGCGTTTTTCCTTAGCTTGGCAGTGTAGCCGCACATGAGCAGTCATTTCAGTTTCTTGGGGGAGTAAATGACTTTGAACGCTTGTTTTTAACAATTTTAGCCTCTTGGCTTCTAGACTTTTTTGTTTTCTCTTTTTCGATTCATCTCATGAATTGAATTGAAATAAATTAATTGCAATATTTTATTCCATCAAAATGAGTGAGATATTAAACTGTTGTGTAATATTTACTTAAAGTGCAAAGAAATGAGAGTATAATTCTGAAGAAAATAAGCTATTAAGCGTTGGTTGTGCTGTACCTGTTACTTGACTACTTGTTTTTGTTTTTTATTTTATTTTTAATTTAAATTTCAGTGTTTTAATCAGTTTTGCCTTTTTCCTATTTCTTGTTAATTCTGTAACAATGAAACAAAGGCTCATTTTTTTTTTTATTCAGTTTAATTCTATTATTTCTCTTTGTTTTTTATCTTCCTGCTTAAGGTTGATACTTAATTTATTCATTGATTTATTTTTATTTACGATTAAATCAAAACCTCGTCAAAGGTAATATAGGTACAGACATCCTTTGATTCATAAATTGTGATTTTAATTTATGAAGAAATTTTCTAAAGATTCGGCTAACAATGACATTGCAATATGTCATTTATGTGCAATTGTAGAAATGATTATTCAAACCTATTTCAAGTAGCTAGTCGGTAATCACAAAGAGGACATACATTTTCCAACTTCCAACAGCAAGGAACGCAAGGAAAGTGAATTTCTGTTGTTCGATTGTTGTTCATCTTTGTTTATGTGAACCATTGTATTTTAAACTCTTCCTATATGTGACTGTTTGCTTAAAAGGATCCTCGTTGCTGAACAATTTGACAAAAAAGCTCTGAAAGTACGAAAGTTGTGACAGTTTGAAGTTCACAATTCAGAAAAAGAAGCCTCAATAAATAGCTGTTCAAAGTTTTAATCTGTTGTATAAAAGCGTAAAATTGACTTATTTCAATGGAAGTTCATGTTATTCATTGGCATTGAAACAAAATGAATTGCTTGCAACCTATTCTTTAGGAAATCAGAGGGTGTTTTTCTAACAATTACTGAAATTCTAATTTTTCCATTGAACTTGATAAAAATTGTTCTTCAAAAAAATTTGCACTGAGATCCTTCCTCTGTAAACAGTCCCTAATGTAAAATGATATTTTAAGAACTTAGTTAATTCGGTCACCACTTGAATCTTTCCAGGTGTGCAGAAAGTTCCAAACTGCCGACCATTCGCTGCGATCTGGCATTTTTACCTCTTGATTGTATCTTTAATTTGCCCCACCGTGGAATATCTGATTTTATGGCTAAATGCTTTATGTCACGGTAAAATGTGTGATTCGCTCTACTCTTACGAGAATTTATCAAGAGTAAAAGAATACGTAAAAGAAGGATAATTATTGCTAAAAATTGTTGAGCATTTGCTGCAATCCTAGGATCGCAAGATTTAATATATTCTGCACTCCTGAATCTTTTTAATTCATACTATCTCGTTACCGCACCTGTTTGCTATTTCGCCATTACCTCATAGATGAGCGCTTACTTACACTTGTACAAGTGCAATGATAAAATATGAACTCAAAATGTGTAATATTAGTCCCTTCTTTTGTAGTGTGAACCGCGGTTCGAAATTGCTGTGATTTCACTGTAATTTGTAAAAATGTATTTTTCAAAATGTTTGCCTTCTCCACTAATTATCGCCAAGGAATTTGAACGTAAACAGCCGGGGCAAATTTTGAAAATTTGGAAAGGATTAGCTACAAGAACGTTTGCCCTGTATTCTAGCTATTCTATTTTTATCACAGCTAAAATATATTATATTTTTGAACTAATTATTTTTATCAATAAAAGTTTCGTTTTCATTAAAGTGCGTTCCTTGCTTTGTCTTTTTCTTGAATATCCCCTCATTGGTGACTCTTATATTCAGCACCCCAGAATACTTTCATGAGGCCATTCCTCTAGAGAGAAGGTACTTGAGCATTGTAAAATGAGAACATTAAATTTGCATGAGATCTGTAAGTGTATTGCGGCCTCAGTCCATCTTTCCATATTTTGAGAGTACCACCTTGTAAATTGTGTATTATTCACAACTAAGTATATTGAAACGATGAAACTATACGAGACAAGCCTTCTCTCAATCATACAGCAGGTATATCACATTTCAAATTTCGATGTCTCATCACATGGAAAAAAATGGATTGCTGATTTAACAATTAAATTGTTACCTTTAAAATATGTCCGACATGTTTCAAACGTACATTTTACAATAGTGGAAAGCTATTTTAACCTCCTTAAATTTTATTTTAAAAATAGCCGAGAAGGGTTTCCTAATACGAACATTTTAACAATTGTTGAAAAATGTTCTGAAAGGTTGTTGCTTGTAGGGAGAATATTACTATGCGACATTTAAATTGAAACGGAGCGGGGGAGGAGAGGGGGTTGTCAGAAAAACTGGCCTTTACCACCTCTAATTCGGGTTTCAATAAAACCTCCCATGCAAAGCGTTGAATATAAATTTGGCCAGGCCGGATCGGAAAAGTTGACACTTTTCATCTGCCTGGGCGGATAAAGCAACTTCGGTTTTCATACAAGGAGATCAAAGAAGTGAACTCAACTGAAACAGGGTCTAAATTAGTTTAGGTTCACCTTGTAAGTAAATCTCATGAACATGAGGATCGATGGCCGAAGTGTGAAACTACGTATCTTCGTTGGCGACGTTGCAGACTTCCTGCCATGCTTAGTGGTTTCCCTGTAAAACTAGTCAACATAATTCATCAATAATTTTAGTGATTTTTCTTACACATCAGCGGAATATTTTGTAAAAATTTCAAGCTATAAAGTTGGCTTGTTCCTCCTCGAAAAAATAAAATAGAAGCGGACATTGTTAAACACCGCAATGTTGGTACGTGGTTTTAAATCTCAGCCATCGATATGACATACACAAATTTCAGAAAAATTTGAAAAGTCGCGGTCATTTGTGACCTTCATTGCCTCATGGGGTATCTCTAAATTCCCTAGAATTTCCCATTTCATAGCTGTCCATGGCAACAGGAAAGACCATCGTAAAAAGAATGATCATTGAATTCTCTTATTGATGATTCAAAATTGAAAAATTGCTCTGAAGGAAAGGGGGTTGACGGAACATGATTGCAAGCATTGAACATTATAACACCGAGGGAACACCTGGGGGAAACTTGAACTTCCTCTCGCTGTTGTCACATTTAGTCACATTTGGCAACGTTGCGCAATGATAAAAACAAATAACCTCGACAATTTTGCTCAGTCTCCGAAATTTTCTTCCAAGCGCCTCGAAGTCGAGTGTCTCGCGCGTTAACGTTGTGCGATGTTTTAAGTTATTATCACAATCAAACAGGAAAATTGCTTGAGGAAGCTCTTGAACAACTGTAAAATGGCCGATATCATTCTGGGAGGAATAGAAGGGTAAGTGTCCCTTTCAGTGAGCTGCTTCTGAACTTTTTTCATTCATTTCCAACTTGTTGATTCATTATCATCCATGTGGGTCGTTAAATTATGGTTAATTACACGTGACGAACACCTCACTCTATCTCCTCAGCTTTTTCTGTCAGTGACCTCTCGTTTCATTCTCGTGTGACATCTAAAATAGGAAAGAGATTTTTGCTCTCGCCCACTTTCCAAAACTCTCACTGTCATGCCATGTGTATGATTTTTAGCCTCCGCAATAAAACCTCAGTTGGTTCCAATGTGTTACTTCCTGTGTTATGCCAGAAAAATTCGAAGACGTTTCATGTTCATGGAAAAGTTACTTACTGTCAAAGGGAATCGGTCACATGGTACAACTTGCGTGGGTGAACTTTCTCAGGAAGAGAGGGTAGAGAAGTCCATACTCTATATATGGCCATGTGGAGGCAGCATTGTAAACAGCTATTTACGAATTTTAATTTCTATCATTGAATGCTAAAAACCTGTTTCCATTGAAGCTAGAGTGTAGGTCTGAAGTAGAGGCTCCTTAAGTCAAACAATGCCACAAGATTCTAAGAATTCTGTAGAACAAGCCTCGCTGGTGAATCTCACATGGAAAGATTCTCACTTTCACTTTCCTCTTTTGGATTCTTCTCATGAACCTCAGTTTATAAGAGCACTGTCTTATCGTGTGCGAGGATTTGCATTTACATTTCCAAGAAATATTCTTTCTAAATCCTCTAGTTGTTTTTAAGTCTTGCATCGATCGCACTCAAGTACTGACAAAGACAGATATGCGAGAATCACCAATTTGAAGCCATGTCTAATTTCAGATATCCTTCCACCAATATGCATGGGTTGATTCTGTTCCTCTGGTTTCAATAAGCACCAGGTTTTTCTTTTAAATTTTTTTGTTTCTAATTCTTCTTTACCAATAATTTTGTAAAGTTGTCATCAGATTTTTGCAGTTTCTGTACGGTAAACAGAGCTGAACTAGTTTATTTTCTAGCAGGTGTTGTACCCCCCCATCTCCTCAACTCAAAGTCCCTTGTTTCATGATCTATTTAATTGCAGTAAATTATGAAGTCTTTAGGAAAGGGCGAGTGAGTCATGGTGGGGGAAAAAAAACGCATTAAGTGTAGTGAGGAAAGGGTTGTAATTGTAACGAACAGCAAGGAAGAATCCACCGCTGTGCTTATGATTCAGTTTTTAAAGCATAGTAAAAGTCATAACATACTCTGATGTGGCAGATTTCTCTCCTTGTCTCAGTAACTAAGGGGGAAGAATAAGTATTATTTTTTGGCATTTTTACTAATGTTTCCTCATCCTGTGAAAATATCAAAGAGAAAATTTTATCCATTTCTCCTTCAAGAATCAGCAACAACCGAGTTTTCGAAAGGTTGCAAGGAAGATGTCTTACTTAGGGATTGTTTTCAATACTGTCAGACAAATCAATAAAAAATGAGCAAGGAAATGATTTTATAAATTGTTTTAGGATACTGTGTATGCCATAAGTGGATTATTTTGCCACTAAAGGATAGTGGAATGCAAGCTTAATCAGCCAGTTCAGTCACCTTCAGTGGCATCATTTTTGTCAAACTAAACCTTAAGGGAAGTAGAATCCGTCAGCCAAAGACCCAAGACAATTCAAAGAAAGTAATTATTACCTTTCGCTCCCCTCTCCCCAATCTTCTTGTCCCTCCCCGTACCCCAGTGATGAATCATCAGGAAGGTGTTTTTTATTTTTAAAACTCCCAATCAATCTAGAACGGATGGAAGGGTAAAAAAAACTGAGATCCGAAATTTAAATTCGTTTAACTGTGTAACTTAAGGGCTGTTGGGAAAGTACGCAGCTAAATGCCTCACCATTCAACACCCATGCTGCTGTGCGAGGGAAGAACGCCGCATACCTAAACCTTCAGGCATCCCCATATTTTCTTCAATAAAAATCGACCAGGAAAATTGTGAATGTATTTCATTGAAATTTTCCGAATATTTTGAACTCGATTTAATCTAAAATATCTTAAAATTTTAAGGAAAAATATGCATGACTTATCAACTTTCGAATTTTTGCGCGGCGTTCTTCCCTAGCACGGCAGTATGCACGATTGTGCGTTAAACGTACATGCCGCTGTCAGGGTTGCGACAGTCAGGGAACACCGGGAAATGTTAGGGAATTTTAAAAAGTCAGGGAACTCCTGGAAATGTCAGGGGGAAATCATCAAACCACCCATTTGCTTTTTCGAGTGGGTTTGACGTTTCGAACAAAAAATTTTGCCTGAAAACTATTTCTATTTGTGTCGTTTTAAAAATCTGGCATTTGTTCATTGTCAGGGAATTTCACAAAAACGTATCAGAGAAATTTCAGGGAATTTCATTTTCAAAGTCTGCGGCACCCTGATTCTAAAAAAATTTCAAGCTTTCCTGGCTTGCTCTCTCCGAAAAAATGAAACTGAACGGAATGGAAAAAAAAAAGGAACGGAAGTTCGGAAACACCGGAGTGAGCATACGAGGTTTCGCTGTTTGGCCATCGAATTTATTCACGTCTCTTACGATCGGATCGGCCCCTTACCTGGGACAACAACATCGTCAGAAACCCGAACGCATTGTGATTTCAATAAATAAATAAACGATCGGCGTACAACTCGTTACGTAATGACTGTACGAGTTTCATTGTGAGCATGTTTCCACGGGGCTTCTGAATCGCCTAATCCGCTCTCTGCCCGCCAAAAAGTCTTATCTTCGACTCGCAGTCGCCGACGTCTGTCTCGACGGCCAAGTCTCTCGAGATTTCCGGAGGCCGATTTCGAGCCCACTCCAAATGAAAAGCAGTCGACATCGGCTGTCATGTCAATCGCGGGCGAAGCGAACCGTTCTGCCGCGTTAAGGAAGAACGCCGTAAGTCCCCTCGGAAGTTGTCGAAGTTCGTTTGATAAAACACTTTTTCTGGGAGACTTGCGAATAGTTTGATTTTCAGAGAATTTTCTCGATTAATTTTAATCTCAATTAGATCCCTAGTGGGATTAGTTGACTCCCTGCACTGAAATAAAAACGGGAGGGTATGGATTCGATCGACATAAATCGATCGAAAAATGAAATCGTGAATCGATCGACACCGATTCGATCGACAATTAATTTAAGAACACCCTTATCGATTTGATCGACATGAATGGATCGAAAAATGAAAACGTGAATCGATCGACGTGAATCGATCGACACTGATTCGATCGACAACCGTGAATCAATCGACAAACCCGTGAATCGATCGACAAACTCGTGAGTCGATCGACAAACCCGCGAATCGATCGACAAAAGCCGTGAGTCGATCGACAAACCCGTGACTCGATCGACAAACCCGTGACTCGATCGACAAACCCGTGACTCGATCGACAAACCCGTGAATGGATCGACAAACCCGTGAATCGATCGACATACCCGTGAGTCGATCGAATTTTGTCGATCGAATCGGTGTCGATCGATTCACGTCGATTGATTCACGTTTTCATTTTTCGATCAATTCATGTCGATCGAATCGATACGGGTGTTTTTAAATTAACTGTCGATCGAATCGGTGTCGATCGATTTATGTCGATCGAATCACGTTTTCTTTTTTCGATCGATTCATGTCGATTGAATCGACACCGGTTTTTTAACAATTTGTCGATCGAATCGGTGTCGATCGATTCATGTCGATCGATTCACGTTTTCATTTTTCGATCGATTCATGTCGATCGAATCCATACCCTCCATAAAAACGTTACGGGCTTCGTTCCGGGCTCGAAGGCTGAAAGTTCCGGGTGCTGGAGCTGTAGCCTCGATTGCTCTGGGTGCTACGCCCGGAACTTTCAGCTTCTGAGCCCGGAACGCCGAGGGCATGTTTATTTAGCCCGTAAGCACGGCTTCCATGACCTGAGTTTTTTTTCAGTGTATGGACACAGGGTTGCCACAGTCAGGGAATAACGGGAAATGTCAGGGAAAATGACGAATATGATAGGGAAACTTTGTTAAATCACCTTTATTTGCTTTCTTGAATGGGTTTGAGGTTTCGAATAACTAATGCCTGGTAAATATTTTAAACCATATCTTCTTAACCACCTGTCATATCTTCAATTGTCATTGAATTGCAGCAAAATGTGGCGGGGGAATCAGAAAAATGTCAGGGAGTTTCATCTTCTAAATTCTGTCGCAACCCCAGGACATTGCCACCCCTTTTCCCTGTGGACACTGAGGTATTTCAGGTTCAAACGCTATGTTTCAGGTCAATCAATCAAAGTTCCCATCGTGTAGCTGATCTTATATGACACGATTTTTGAGGGTTCTTTTTTTTTTTTTTTTTTTTTTTTTTTTTTTTTTTTTTTTAGTAGCAAAATTCAATAAAATTGTATTGGCGTTGATGGTATAATTTTATTAAAAAACCCCCCAAAAAAATTTAAAAATTCCGTCAGATGTTCTCCAGGATCAGGCAAATGATACGGAAACTCTCATGATTGGTTGACCGGGGACCTTGTTTTTTAACCTGAAATTTCCGAGTGTCCACAGGGGATTCACTGACCCAATCCGTTATTTTCAACGAAAAATATTCCCAACTACTATCGAAAATACATATTTTATCGGAGAAATTTGACAACGCCCTAGGCTCATATGGCGTATTTCCTTAGCGCGGTAGCGTTACGAGAAGTGGCGCCATTAATTCGCGATACCCGTTTACCTAGCGAATCGGTCGGTATTGAAACATATCTTTTATCCGATGAGCCCTAGAATTCAATCATTTTTATGGACTTAAAGGGTCATCGAAAAATGAATTTGCTAGGTTCATCACTCACCGATTCAGTGGTGCGATCAATCTCGATGACATCCCGAAATGTTGGTGGTTCGTCTGTCTAATCGAACGTCACGAACAATAAGCAGTACGAAACTATCTAGGTTCGGAATCTAGAAGAAATACACGTGTACAATGTTACCGTGTTACCATAAAGGAGCAGGAACGCGCAAATGTTCGA